GAGATCTTCTTGTCCACCCTGTTGGTGTAGGTGTTGGAGAGCTTGCTTGTTTGTTTTTTCTCTTTCTTCTTTGCTCCTCCCCCATTCTTCACCTTACACTCATAGAACTTGTGGCCTTCCTTGTGGCATATGTAGCAAACCACGGTTTGTCTTTAATCAAACTTCTTCACTTCTTTGATGATGTTATCTTGATGAAGTTGGGCTTGCTTCGTCTTGCCTTTTACTTGTGTTAAGTCCTTGTTGAGGCGAGCCACTTCTTGCTTGAATTGCTCATTCTTCATTGCAACTTCTTGCGTGCATGTATGTACAACAATTTTCTCAACACAAACTTGATTGCACATAGGTGAGTCTAAACATAAATCATTACAAGAAATGGAAGCATCCTTTTTAGGCATGTTAAAGATAGAACTTTTTTTCCTAGATGCCTTGGTGAGGGTGGAACCGACGGTTTTAAGATTAGCAACTTTATTAGTTAGCTCATCACAATGTTTGCACATGGTTTCTATTTTAGCAAGCAAACTTTTATAAGCATCTTGTGAGTTAGCTAACTTTTCTTTTAATCTTTTATTTTTATTTACAAGTTGCTTATCATTGATTGTGCATGTATTTGTTGTTGCACTAGCCTTAAGTTGCTCAATTTTAGTAGATAGTTCAACATTGAGATTAGCAAAGTTCTCATATTGTTCAAGCAAAGTTTTATATGCTTCTTGTGAACTATCTAGCTTTTCTTTTAATTTTTCGATCTTCTTTTGTTGACTAGTGTAAACTTTAGCATAATTAAGATTTTGTTGCACAATTTCATCATAAGAAGGCATTTCATCATCACTATCACTCTCACTAGAGGATGAGCATTTGTTACCTCGTGCCATAAGGCACACACGAGAAGAGCTTGATGATGAGTGCTTGCGGCCTCACCTCTTGTGTTGGTGTTCTTCTTCACTTGAAGAATCATCACATGACCTTATTGATGTGAGGGCTTGGTTCTTGCATGCCTTCTTCTTTGTCTTGGGTGTTGGCTTGTTTGGACAAACTTCCATAAAGTGCCCCAACTCGCCGCATTCATAGTATCCTCTTTTTCTTTGCTCATTTCTTTGATTGGTGAAAATAAGATCTTGAATTTGTATGGGCACACCCTTGTCATTTAGCCTTTGGATCATCTTCTCCACCTTGTTGATTAGTTTGATTGATTCTTCATCAAGGTCGAAGGTGAAGGAGGAAGATTGATCATCTTCAATTGAATCTTTATCATCATCATAATCGTCCTCATCTTCTTCTTCATCTTCACTTGAGGAACTTGCGCTTGAGCTTGTCTCAACTTGCTTGCCCTTCATCTTCTTTTTCTCGCTACTTGTGACAGCTTTGCCTTTGCTTGATGAAGAGGTTTCTTCTTGACCCATCTTGCGTGACATTTCAAATACCACTATCTTGCCAATGACTGTGGTCGGGGTCATAGTGCTCAAGTTTTCTATGTTATGAAGGATGGTGATGATGCTTGCATATTTCTTTTGTGGTAGCACGGAGATGATCTTCCTCATGATGTCCGCATCATCTAGCTTTGTTAATCCTATTGAATGGAGCTCATTGATAATTAGATTCAAACGAGAATACATACCACGAACAAGCTCATCATCGTAAGGTAGAGATATGCAAACTCCCGTCGACGACTCCGGTATTTTTACCGAGGTATCGAAAGCGCAAAGCTTCCCCTAGTCCTCGTTGGAGCCCCTCACAAGGAATTCCTCGTAAGGGCTAAGCTCCCGGTCGGGTAACTCCGTGGATAGCCTCGAGCCTTCTCCACGCGCAAGTGGGTCTCCGACGTGCCTTCCGGCAAGCCTCTCTCGGATGCTCCCCGCCGTCTTCACTATCAAGCTTCCGACCAAAACACCGCGGGCCTTGTTCCTTCCGGTACACGGTGGCGGCCACACCACAAACGCGGTTGGTGTGATCTCGCAAGACTACAAGCCCCTTCGATGTACAACAATAGTGCGCGCAAGCACCAAGTAGTAAGAGGTATGCAAACCTCACTAAACACTAGGCCTAAACCTAGAGCAAGCGCATAAGCGATGGTCTAATCAACTTAAACACTTTGCAAAGCACCTACGCTAATCACCTAATAAAACACTAAGCATTATACAAGTGGAGATCATTAAAATGGTGTATCAACACCCTTGGTATGTTTCCTCTGCTCCACACATCTCAAATGGCCAGTTGGGGGGTCTATTTATAAGCCCTCACTGAGAAACTAGCCGTTGGGACGAAATCCCACTTTTCTGCTACTGACCGGACGCTAATCACGTCCTGACCGGACGCGTCTGGTCATCCCGACCATTAGAGTCGCGAATTACTGATCGGACGCTGCCAGCGTCCGGTCACATTTTTGCCGCTCTGGAACCTCTCTATACTCGACCGGACTCTGTTGTCCTGCATCCGGTCGATCTGTCGCCAGCGTCCGGTCGCACCTGTTGTCGAGCCTCTTGATCGGAGCGTCCGGTCACTTTCCTCCAGCGTCCAGTCACTTCTGTAAGCTCGTTTCTCAGCGATCTTGCGTACGGCTTGGTTTCTATCTTCGTGCTTGAACTTTGCTTGATATGTTGGGTCTTCTCTTGTGCTCCTAGGGTCTTGTTTATGGTGTTGCATCCTATTGAACTACAAAACAATCACTTGCAAATTTATTAGTTCAATTTGATTGTGTTGGTCATCAAACATCAAAATCCAAAGTAAATGGGCATAGGGTCCATTTTCCTTACACCGACGTGGACAAGGTCTCGACGTCATAGATCTTGGCGCCGAGCTGTTACCCTATAGCACTTGGTGTTTAAAATGAAACAAGTATAATTGTTCTGAGGAACATGCAACAACGCCATTGCGGTTTAGTTGGTTAGGACACGCGCGACTCAGTTCAAAGGCCTGGGTTCGAACCCCATCGCTGAATCATTTTTTGCTACATTTTTATAAGCAAGAAACATGCTATATCTCAATTGTAGTCTAGTTGATTAGGATGTTGGGCTCTAATATGAGACGTAGGTTCAAATCCAGCATGCAAATTTTGTTTGCTGCATTTATTAATTATTTTTTTGCTTACTTAGTTAGTACTAGCGTTGTTCCACCAAACTTTGTTATTATTAACATGAGAGAACACTATTCACTAATTTGTAATTTGTTTTGGATGAAGGATACATCTCAATGTGCATTTATTTATATATTATCTAAATCCAAATCTTTCTTATATTCAGCCTGTTCGCTTGTTGGTTTCAGCCAGGGCTTATCAGCCAGCCAACAGTGTTTTCCTCTCACAACAAACCAGCACCAGCCGGGTTTATCAGCCCAGAAACTAACAAGCGAACAGGCCGATTATCATAATCATGGATGTATTTATTTATTTATTAATTTATATACCTCGGTAGTAGTGTTTTTCTTATGAGGGGGAGATCCTCCTCCGTTCCTCACCAAACATAGTTGAACAGTCCAAATAATGATAATATGGAGCTCTTAGTTAATACATTAAGCATATTCTTCTTCTTAATTCTATTTTATATAAAATAGGGAGGTATGCAAATTAAAGAGAAATAGGAAGGCAAAGAAAATTACACACACTTAATGTAAAATAAATTATTTTATTTATTTACTTCTTGTCTCGGAAGCCTTCAACTTATATATGATGACAAAAGCCATATGCATGTAAGTAAAAGGACGTCTGAGCAACAAGATATATATAAACACATCACTCAACTCAACTTGATCTAGGAACATAATGTCTCAAAATCAAATAAAAACAAATTAAATATACAGTGTACGGTGGAACAATGGAACAATAATATACAGTGTACGGTGAAACCCATGACGCTAATAATAAAGGAATAATATTTCTTGTTGTAGTTGCTTATAAAAATAAAAATCTAACAAAAAAATATATTTGCTTCTTAGGTTCGAGGCCAGGTCTCTGGGCTAAGACCCGTGGGTCCAAACCAACTCTACCACAATGGGATCATTGCATATTTCTCGATATAATTTTCTTATTCTATTTATTATAAAAATGTAGAAATAAAAGATTCAGCGCTAGGGTTTGAACCCAGGCTCTTGGGCAAGACGCGTGCGTCCTAACCAGCTGAACCGTAGTGTGGCTGTTGCATGTTTCTTGAAATAATTATACTTGTTTCATTTCAAACGCCAAGATCTATAGGGTAATAGCTTGGCGTCAAGATCTATGGCGCCGAGTCCTTGTCCACGTCGACGCCAGGTCACCGCCACGTCCGACACCTCGCCAAGACCTCGGCGCCATTGGCCATGGCGCTGAGACGTGTTTCCTCGACGCCAAAATCCATAGCGTCGAGGTCAAAGTCCATAAACAAAAATCAAACCACTAGGGTCTATTTATGAATATTTTTAAAAAAAAGAGTTGAAAAATAAAAATTCGAACCGCGCTAAGAGCATCTTGTACCTAATATAACTCTACAAAAGTAAAGTATTGAAAAAAATAAAGAAGACCATCTTCAAAAGTTTTTAATAATCCACCCATAAAATATAGAAGATAATTTTACATCAGAAATCCTATACTATTTCTAAATTATCCTAACCACTTTTATATATTCTCTCTCTTGTACATTTACATCGAGAACCATTTCCTACTCTTTATTCTTTCTACGTCTTTTCAACTTTAGATTGACCGACAAACACACCGCGGGGAGAAAAGATACGCGCGACTCAAAAGCGGCGTAACTTTAAACGGAACCGGACGACTTTTATCAAATTCTACAAGATTAAAAGAATGACTTATGAGTCATTTGAGAGGTGTTTTTTTTCTCATCTTGCTATGAAGGGATTTAGGGAACTCTTTGCTTAAAAAAAAAACTTCCGCGACCATGCGCACGAGGGCTTGATCGAAGCAGCCTGAGCGTCTCCCCTCGCAGACCGCCCGGGCGCAGGCGGCCACGGTGAACATTTGTAAGCACGGAAACGAATATTGAATTCACCAAAATTTCTACAGAGTTCCTGTACGACGATCACGATTCGGCGCCAGATTCCGGGTTTAGCACGTCGTCAGACCTGTTGAATTTCAGCCACTTCCAGTTAGCATAGGACCGGGCTTCGTCGTCGAAGGGGACAGCATCGTCGCAGGAGTCTTCCGCGGCAACGGATCCAGGTGGCTCTGCAATTTGCTCCTGGTACCTTTGCGCCATCTCTTCAGCCTCAGAAAACACCTTCTGTTGGCAGAAACAATGAAAAACGCGAGAGATCCTAAGCACTGAAATGAGCATATATACGACTGAAAATGCTGTGTATGTTTTTTTTTTCAGCGCAAGATATGGATATAATGGTTAGTTTTTGGAGACCCGAAGTTTTCTCACCTCTTTGTTAGTGATAAGCAGTCCTGGTTCGCTCTCGAGTTCCTTTGTGCTGCACAAAGCCAAATAGATGTTGTCAAGTGCACCACAAAATCATCGAAGAGCAGATGATCTTTTACAGAACAAATCTTATGGGCTATAGCAGTAGTGACTACGAGCTATACTTATTGCAAGTTTGCTATGTTATACCTGAGGGCAATTCTGTCTGGAGTTGATTTTATGACAAGAGCTTTCACCGACTCGCCGACTTTCAGCACATCAGCCACAGATCTCAGCTCACCATTTGTCATGTTCGAGATATGCAGTAAACCACTGCAAAGCATTACATGCTTGTAAAATTCAGATACAAAATGCTTCATTTGTAGAACACAACAAAAAGCAGCAAAATAGCTCATGATCCAGGTACCGGAAGAAGTTTATCAAAAGAATTGGCAGTTTTAAGGTGTCAAACAGATAGACATGTTCAGGATATCACAACAAAAAATAACTCAAATTAGTAAGTTTCACTTATTAACAGCACTGATGCATGGAAAGATGGCACCTGTATCAACTCTTGGCAAAGCAGAGCACAATTGCCCTCTGAACCTAAGCCAGGTGATTCACAAAGCAGAGATCCTTGTTAACTTGGTGTATCTTGACATTTTGTAATGAAAGGCATTAATTTCAAGATTGATTGGTAAATCTCATGTCAACTTTCATGCCTTCGTTCAAATAAGCCAGTCCAAAATGCTACTTGCACTATCTAAACTACTCATATATAATATACTGTCCAAATCAAATATTTTGTGTTGGCTTATAAATAGTTTTGTATATCTGAAGGAGTAAACCATACGAAAACATGCACAAGTAAGAATAATTTGGACATGAGGTGCATGCATAGATTGACCTAGACCATCCTGGCTAGCAGAATATGATCAGAAAAGAAATTTCAGCATCACTGGTGATAAAATATTGGAATTGTAAGGAAATGGGGTGCATCGGTGCAACAGTTCTGAAAGTACATTCAGGTTGAGCCGAACAAGAAGAAAAAATGGCATCTGTAAAACACAGGCTAGGGTCTTGAGATGTTACCCTCTGTTAGTCTCGCCAATCCTAATTTGTGCACCATATGGAAACAACTTGCGTACTGTACCTTGCAAGAGAGTCCCTTCTCTAAGGTATGTCACTGCCTAAACAAGATTTTTTTCAAGGAAAACCCATCACTCATACAAGTTAAAAACGTATTGCAAAAGCTATACAGATGCTTTGGAATTTGAGAGTACTTCATAAACAGCTGTTTAAGCTGAAGAGTTTCTTACGCTCACAAGCAACCAGATAAGTTGTTTAAACAAATATGTACTTCAAACAGATATGGTGCAAGAAAAGCATAAAGTTATGCGGTGTAAGCTTCAAATAACAGGTAGCAGAGACCAATGTAGCTAACTCACCCATGCTTCTTTTTCACTAATTATCAATTCGTTATTCCCTTGATCAATCCTTGTAATACAGACGTGCATTTCTTGACCAACCTGTGTGTGAAAAAAAAGTTTCAGTTCACGAATCACATTACTATACTTGCAAGTTCAAAAGGTGACTTTGAAACAATCAATCTTGATATACCAAGTATGGAAATGGAACAGCATAAAGCCATACAAGCTTTACTTTATAGAATGCATATTATGCATAACTTACTTTATTCTTTAGGTCAGTGAAATTTCTTGGTCTGGTCATCATCTCAGGCTTGGGAAGGAATGCCCGAAGGCCCTGAGAAGGGAAATGCGCTTTAGCCATACAATTATAAAACTGAACCAAGTATTGTAGTACATATACTCGTACCTCAATTCGAGACAGCAAGCCACTAGCATTCCACTCATAAATTTTGACCTTGATGGGTACATTTAGCCGTTTTATCTGAACATTAGTGTGTAAATAAACAGTCAAATATATATGTGAAAATAATTAACATACAAAAGGCAGTCATTGATTTAAAAAAATGAGACCAAACTTTCTCATAGAGCAGTGAAATGCAGAGTTAATAACAACTATGCCTATTATTGTCATCAAAGCAAGCCATAATGAAAGCCAAATTGTTTGCATACAAAATGTTTAGCAGTCAGTTATTACTTTTTCTACACACTTCAACACCCCATACATTTGATAGATACCATCCTCGGAACCTAATATACAAATTTGTCTAAGATATATCAACAACCCACTATGCTTTAACAGCTTGAGCTTTAAGCCTTTGAGAACAGGAAATTAGTATATATTAAAGTTATAATCCTATCTGATAAAAACAAGATGGTCAACTGGTCATGAACTAGTAGTAGTTTCTAATAATCCAGCTCTACTCATTCCTCGAATGTGGCAGTTGGTTTGAACTAGTAGTTTCTAATAGTCCAGCTCTACTTGGGCAGTGCGTCAAATTATTGATAAGAGATCGTTCCAAGGATTTCCAACAACAAAAGAAAGGAGTGGCATAGAGGACCTGCCTCGCTCTGTGCCACGCGACGTGCCGGAACAGCCTGCGCGCGGACAGCAGCGGCCGCCCGCCAAGTGTTCGACCGAGGACCTCAGCGAACACGATCGTACCGGCGCGCAGCACCCGCGCACCTTTCTCCTTTCCATTCCTCCCAACCGTCGCCTCCTCGTCCCCCTCTCCCCCTCCGCTGACCTGCCTGACCACGACGCCGACCCGCCCTTCCGCCGCGAACTCCGCCGCACGCTGGGACGCGACGTCGCACGCCAGGTACCGGAACTCCTCACCGGGCACCGGAGCCGACTCCTTGGCTAGCATCAGCGCTGGTTCGCCACCGGAGCCGATGTCAACGTCGAGCGTCCTCCCGTCGCTCCGGACCACGACGCCGGCGACGAAGTCCCCGGGCTTGGGGTCGTAGTAACTAACCCCACGCCCGCCAGCGGCGGACAGCACATCTCTCTTCGATGCCTCCTCCGTTACCACGCCATCCGCGCGTGCCCCTGCCGCGGTGTCCGCGGCCACGTCGGGGTCGGTGCTCTTCACCTGGAAGAACTTAAGGAAAGGCGCGAGCGCTTCTTCTGTGGACAGCACCGGAGCAGGCTCGGGCTCCTCCTCTGCCTCGTCATCCTCTGCGAGGGTGGGTGACGGCTTCTCGAGGAGGTGGAGCTCGTCGCTCCCGCTCCCGCCGGCGGCAGCGGGGGAGGGCGAGGCGTGGAGCGGCGGCTGGGATACAGCTCTTCGAGAGAAGAGGGAGTGGCTCGCGGAGGGGGCCTTGTGGTGCTTTGCTTGGCGTCTTCGTGGTGAGATGGACGCGGCAAGGAGGTGGGAGACGAGGGAGGGCGGCGGCATGGCGAGAAGGCCAGCGAACTCGTGAGCGGACGGCCGTCGCGCGATTATCTCATCCCCTCGCGTCGGCCCGGCCACGACGCAGATGATATTTGAGCTGGCCATGTGCTCCCTCCGTCCCACGAAAGAGTCTCATTCTCGCTTCATAAAAAATCAAATTTTAGATAAATCGCTGAATATTTTTGAAAAATAAAAAAGTTAATATGATATATTCAAATATTGCTAATATCTTTTTTTCATAAAAATATTTTTTTAATCTAAATCGAATGATGATTTTTCTATGATATATTAATTCATATAGCAATACTATTTTTTAATAAAATGGATGGAGTATTTACATGGGATTTGGAGGACAAAGACCACGTGAAGCATATTGCTAACGTCTATAACACTGTAATGATTAAAAAAAGTATTTCCGCTGGCCATGTGCTCCTCACTCAAACATCTGTCTCATTCTCGCTTCATAAAAAATCAAATTTTAGATAAATCGCTGAATATTTTTTATAATAAAAAATAGAGATATATAAATATTGCTAATATCTTTTTATAAATCTAATCGGTACAGAATTTATAGCAATACTATTTTTAAGATGGATGGAGTATTTACATGGGATTTTACAAATACCACGTAGCATATTGCTAACGTCTATAGCACTGTATGATTAAAAAAACAGTACTGCTATCACTCGAACATCCGACGTTCCGGACGTGCGTCATATAGCGACTCGACCGACACCTCGCCTTATCCGCCTGCTTGACTCCCGTCCCATCCCATCCCATGTCCGCGCGCCCTAGTTCTCTCGCTCTGCTCGCCTTCTCCTCCTCCCCGCTCCTCCACTATCTAAATATGCTCGCGCGCCGCCGCCCCTCCCTTCCTCCCTCCTCCCCTCCCTCCCTCCATGCCACCGGAGAGGAGGGCGACGGTGGCGGCTTACGGCGAGCTGCCCCTCCCTCCCTCGCTCCGCGACCTCCATGCAACCGGAGAGGAGGGCGACGACGGCGCTTTCGACAAGGTAAGTGGGTCCTTCTCTGGATCTGAGCCCTCCTCCTCTCTCCTCCTCCTCCTCCTCCTCCTCCTCATCTGGATTTGAGCTCTCCTCCTCCTCCTCCTTCTCCTCCTCCTCCTTCTCCTCTGGATCTGGATATGAGGGACGCGCGGTGGCTAGGGTTTCGGCGAGCTCTGTTGCAGTGGGCTTGTTTTGCTGTTGCAACAAGCAATATTTCTTTGTTGCATTTCGCATTGAGCTTTTTGTTTCTGTTGTTTTGCAGTAGCGTCGTTTTGTTGTTGCAACAAGCAATATTTCTTTGTTGCATTAGTATTTTTTTTGCATGTTGCATCTTGTATTGCGTTTTTGTTTCTGTTGTTGCAGTAGTGTTGTTTCGCTGTTGCAACAAGTATTTTTTCTTTGTTGCATTTAGTCTTTTTTCTGATGTTGCATCTCGCACTGCTTTTTTTGTTTTCTGTTGTTGCAGTAGCTTTGGTTTACTGTTGCAACAAGTAATTTTTCTTGGTTGCATTAGTCTTTTTTCTGATGTTGCATCTCACATTGCGCTTTGTTTCTGTTGTTGCAGTAGCTTTGGTTTGTTGTTGCAACAAGTAATTTTTCTTTGTTGCAATTTTTTTCCGATGTTGCATCTCGTATTGGAGCAGCTTTGTTGTATTGTTGCAGTCGCTCTTGTTCTGATGTTGCAATAGACTTGTTCTGTTGTTTTCACTCGCATTGCACTTTGTTTGATGTTGCAAACATTTTTCTGATGGGAGTGCGTTGGGGGCGCGCGAGGTTGGGGGCGGATGGGAAACCCGTTCTATTCGATCCGTTCCATGCGGGGAGGTTAGGGCGGGGGGTTCCATGCGTTAGGGGCGGGCGGGTTCCCTTTGCGAGGAGCGGAGGAAGGGCGGTTCCGATCTCTATTCTGTTCCGTGTGGGGGGCAGGCGTGATCCCATGCGGGAGGGTGAGGCGTGGTACGAAGGGCCCGGCGTCCGGACGCTAGTGTCCGGGTTGGACATCCGGGCGCTAGTAGTTCCGTTATAAAAAACATCTATAGTATTGTGTATAAACACACTGTCAAAATATATATATATTATTATGGATTTAATAAGACTAACTTTGACACTGTACTTGTTGAGTTGTTGATGTATTTTTTATAAAGACACTCATAATAAAGAAATCTTAACTTAGGGCAAAATCTATGCCGATTGTCGAGAGTATATTTTCATTTGCCATATGACTATCTATTTCAGAAGAAGTTTGACACCAATTTTGATAGCTAAACCAAATGGTGGCACAGAAATACCTTTTTGTTCTATACAAAATCAAAACAAAAACTTTATTTCTTTCGCCAAATCAATAAATCAAGACACTTCAATATGACATTACCAATAATACATTTCAATTTTCTAGTGTGTGTGTGTATATATATATATATATATAAAATCAAAATTACAATTGTTTCAAAAAGCAGAAGTCTATTTGTGTTTGTCCTGAGTGCGATTTTGGTCATAAAACTTGAAAATCAGATATGTTTGACAATCAAACTATCAAAGCTGGACAGTTTTGGTTTCTCGGCGGCTTCCTAATTTAAGGTGGCTTTTGCCCCTCTCTCTCTCTCTCTCTGCGTATTTTTTTCCCAAACGTAATAAAAATATGGTTAGATATCTACAAATATAAGCTGATTCGTTTTAGATGAAAAAAATATGAAACCCGTAAAAAATGTTTCTATAAATACAACATGTCTAGTGGTGCTCTATTTAGAGTTTATATTCTGCTTGTTCATTTTGCTAGTGTTTTATTTCTCTTAGTAGCTGCGATCAATATTTATTTATTTGTTTGTTTTGTGCTTTACTTCATGTTGATTGCATGAATTGAATGATGTTTTAAGCCCATGCCTTGTTTGAAACATACTAGCCCACTAGGCGCGCTGGCGCCGCGCCCGTTCCGTAAACACGCGAACAGTTAAATCGCAAGCGAACACTCAAAGCATAGGTGAACAGTCACAAAAAGCAATGAACAGTACTACAAAATATTTAAAATTTAGATAAACAGTACCAGAGGTGCTAAGGAGGCCGCAATTTTATCCCGTGTTGAGTTATTACAGTCGAATGACCAAAGTAAAGTAAAAGCATACCTAAATAAGATCTATATGTGGTAGAGCGCGGCATTTGCGAGGTTGGTGTCATTTTTAAGATTTTGTACGTCGGACTCCATTGGAACAATTTGATTGAGCTTCTAGGGCATTTGAGAGGTTGGTGTCATTTTTTAGACCTTCTGCATACCCGGAATCCATTGGAACATTTTAACCGAGGTTCTAGTCTAATATATTACGATAATTAATAAATATTGGTCGCGACGGCAAGTAATGAAACATTGAAAATAGAAACAAAAGATAACCAAATAACCTTAAATAGAGCGCGAATAGATAAAATGTTTGAGAAAAAAATTAGTACTCCTTGTTTTTTTATTTAAAACAAATTATTTATAAAATTGTAGAGATCTAATCATATTTATATTATTTTAAAAACATGTATAAGCAAAACCACCTTTTAAGTTTAGCCTTATATCCAAAATTATTCATTTTCGATAGTTCAGTGACCAAAGATATTTTGGAATTGATGTCCTAAGTCGAACTCGGATCAGTCGGACAAAATTAGACTCCCTCCCGTTTTATAAATGGTTTGTCTGAAATTTTTGGACGAACACAATTGGATTTTGCCTCTTCAGACGAGCTGATCTCAAGTCTCAACTGTTGAACGAACACACTACACTACACAGAAACGCTACTGACATATGGGACCCAGCCGCAGGGCCCCTCCCAAAGACTTGCAGCTAGGTCGAGGCGAACGACCCCCCGCAGGCCCGAAGCGGGGCTTTTATATTTTTACCATTATAAAGATCGGCACTCATCCGAATATTACTTTTAGAATGACACTTACAATTTTACCAGATGAGAGAAATTTTAGTTATAGATTTACCACTTTTGCGTATGTGGCATGCCACGCGAGCTCGACACGTTGGCACCTAGTCAGCATGAGCAAGTGAAATGTCGTTGCTACCCCTGCCTTGCTACTCTCTCTCCATCCCCGACAGCTGGGTCCCGCGGCACCTGTCACTACCAGGTGGGCCCCACTAGTCAGCTTCGCGCGTTTCCTTGGCAAAGCCTCGCTCCCGGTTTTTCTTCCACGCGCGGCTTCAAGCTCTCCTCGGTTGGTGCAGTTCGCAGCGGGCGGCCGGGACACGACACTCCACACACACGCTTCATAGATTGCAGCTCGGCGTGTTGGAGGCGGCGGCATGATGGAGCCGGTGGGCGGGGGGGACGGCGGCGCGGCGGGCCGCGGGAGGGGCTGGAAGGGAAGGGCGTGACCTCGGGCTCCGCCATGAGCGGCAAATGGGGCGCTAGTTTTAGAAGACGCTTGCGTGGCCGCATTGCTCCGCCCCAAGAAGATCCGTGGCTTGACCGCCACCTCAACCGCCTCCTCCTCTCTCGTCGGTTCCGCCTTCCCCGACTCGTCCTCTGTTTCCAACCCCTTGTCGCCGCCGGCAACGCAACGCCATCATCGATCGATCGACACATATTTCCGTTCACAGTCGATCAGGCTCCGGCATCGACGGCGATGGTAGTAGTGGCGTCCCATCTTTGGTCGCCGAGGCTCTGGCGCCGGAGGTGCAAGATCAAATGCAACAAGCGCTACTAGAGTTAGGCGCTGAACACGAGCCCCCGTGGGTTCCGCGGCGGGGCGTCTTCTGCCGGCGTTGTACCAATAATTCTTCTGCTACAAGGCCCAGTTCGCCTAACAAGCTCTATCGCGACGTCTGCGGCGGCTACTTGGGGAAGTGGGTGGCGGAGATCCGCCTCCGTGAATCAAGACGCTACTTATGGCTTTCGGCACCTTCAAAACCGCCGAGGACGCCGCCATGGCGTCTGACCATGAGGCATTCAAGCTCCGCAATGAGAACGCCAAGCTCAACTTCCCCGACTGTTCTGGGCAAGGGCGCGTCGGCGGAGCGGGCGCACCAAAATACAGCAATACAAGCGGCGTCATGCTCCTCCTCTTCCTCATCTTGTCCGCCGACGCCGGACGAGAATCACACGAAGCAAGCGCAGCAGCATGACGAAGCTGACTAGTGGGGCCCACCTAGCAGTGACAGGTGCCGCGGGACCCAGCTGTCGAGATGGAGAGAGAGGAGCAAGGCAGGTGTAGCAACGACATTTCACGTGCTCATGCTAACTAGGCGCCAGCATATCGAGCTCACGTGACATGCCACATGTATAAAAATAGTAAATCTATAACTAAAACTTCTTTCATCACCTCTCATCTAGTAAAGTGGTAAGTGTCGTTCTAAACCTGATATTCGGATGAGTGCTATCCTTGTAATGGTAAAAATGTAAACGACCCGCCCGCAGCAGACACGAGCACACGAATCCTTCGCATTCGTATCGAAGCGGCGGAAGGAAGGAGCCGAACGAGCAAGCAACCAGCGAGGAGGCGGGGAAGGTAGCTAGGGCCGGAGTCGGATGGGGTTCATGCTACGGGTGAGGCTGGCCTCCTTCTTCGCCGGCGCGGCTGCCGCCGCCGCGGGCGGGGGCTACTTCCTCTACAAGGACTACAAGCTCGCCAACGAGTCCATGGCCCTCAAGGTACGCACTCCGCCCCTCTTTCTCATCGCTTCGCCTCAGATCTTAGATTATTGCGCGCATATCGCTATTGGTGCCCTCGGTGATGGTGGTTGTCGAGCAGTAATGCCTGAAGCGCATCGGCATGTTGCGTGCGGGGTGGGGGATCGGGGGGTAAACCCTCGACGTGACGGCCTGCCTTAGAGCTTTAGCCCTGGTCGTCATGCCACACACGTCTTGTTTGATGATCTGATGACGGTCCTATGGTTTGGTTTTACTAAGAATGCCAGTGTTGATAGATTGATGCAAGGTTGGGGTAGCATGTCTATCTGGACCATGTGCTTGTCATATCATTGGGAAGGGATTGGCATAGTTGTTTTGTTGAGATGTTGGATGCTTGCATCTAGGGCCTGAGCTGTATTGTTTTCTGGCTATTTGGGGGATATATGAGGTTTCCACGGACCTTTCACTTTCAGTTCAATTCATGCTTATATTTATTTGTTTGATTTTTGTTCTGTACAATACCGAATTGATCTGGCATTCCTTTTAAGATCTATGGTTGCAGTTCCAGCACTGCATCATATGATGTGGCATGTCAAATTAAAGTTTCTTTCTTATCAGTTTCCTACTCAATTGCTCAATCATTTTCTGTTAAATATGTCTTCTTATGTACCATTCAGGGCAACTGGTTTACATTTCTCATATTGTTAACCCTGTGATTGGTTTCTAAATTTCCTACAAACAGAGCCAGCAAACTATTCCTGATCAAATTTCCAAGTAGTATATATATGTGGCTCTGGCTGTTTACAATTGGTTTGCTGCAACTTAAGATTATGTAAAATAGAAATGGCTGAGCATGTTTCTCTGCAGAACTATTTACAGCCCATAGCTCTCATTGATTGTACATTCACTTTGTGGCTGGAAGTAGTGTGTTTGGAGTCCCTTGCAGAGATATGATGATCACGCGCTGGTGTCTTAAACAAGCAAACCTGTTGGAAGTGATTCTGAATTTTAAGATAGTATTCAATGTTAAAACTCAACAGTGTTACTGGATCATAGCTGTATTAAACCGGGTTTTGTACATGTGACTTTGCAGTTAGGCATAGACAGGCATTGATATTCATCAGTGCAGCGCAGTTATGGTTTTCAGTTTTGTCCATCTGTCCCTGTATGCATTTTGCAAAGTATACAGTTTTTTTTTAAAACTTTAGAGTAAACATAAGTACATATTTTTGTGAACTTCAGGACTTACCCTGCTTCTAATGTTCAAAACCTGATATATTCAGTATTCAGTAAGCATTCATGACAATGTGATAACTCATAGAAATGAGTGGAGTTATGTACAGAAAAACCTTGTAGATTTTTGCTGACTTTCTGTTTCTGAGGCTTAAAACCATATACATTCAGCAAGCGTTCATGGCACTGTGATAACTATAGAAATGGGTGGAATCATGTAGAGGAACTTTATGCTTTTTTTGACTTTCTGTTTTTGAGGTTCAAAACCAGATACATTCAGTAAGAATCAACCAAAAAAAAGTGATAGCTCATAAAATTTAGTGAAGTTGTGTAGAGAAGACTTGGGAAATTGTTCAATTTTGTGCAAATAGAGGAACCTGATGTATGGTTATTGTTTTGCTGTCATTTTCTCTTTGACAGTTATGTTTTGACTTTGCACGAGTCTCTCAAGAAGACAATTCTTGCTTGACCTATAAGATTTAGGTTTCTATATCTGTAGCTCAAATCCTGCTCCAGTTGCCAAACAAAAGGGCATCAAATTCCTCTTGGCTTAAGGCTTCCGAGAAATTCATAGCTATTGTTATTTTTTTCACATTTCACAAGTCTCTCAAACTCACGAAATTCATGTCTTAGCTGTGATATTAAGTTTTCTATATCTATATTTCGTATCCTGTCCCCACAGCGGAAACTTTTAGCCTTTGTTAAATTCCTCTCGGCACTGCATGATTCTGGCTGTGTCGAAGGAAAAGCATCTGACCTTGACAATGCATATCCTCAGGTGAAAGGTCTCCAAGACTCTACTGACACTCGCTACAAAGCCCTTGAAAAGCGACTCGCTGCTTTGGAAGGTCAGCGAAGCACTGGGGCTGCACCAGACGTGGATACACCATCTGATTAGGCTGTTTACTACGAGGCTTGGAAATATATGATTTACGTCTGTTTACATTACCCTCAGTTGTCTTGTCCTTTGAAAGCAAGAGACCTGACTGATGAGAACAAAATAATCTAGGATGCTTCTTTTGTACTGCAAATGTCTGAGGCTGAGATTCTCCCCTACATTCTGTTTGTGTTCCATGCCAGAAAAACACATGAACAGCAGAACTCTGATTGCTCAGGCATACTGAGAGTGGACAAAAGGCGTGAACCCAAACCCAATTTGAGAATGTTGCAATGGTTTTTGCTGCACAATCCCTGTTTTACTGACTTGTCCGTGCTGTATGGCAATGGCCCAATGGGCGCACGTACTATTTTGTGTTCTTTATGCGGTTGCTTGGCATGCTACTCCCTCCGCTTTTAAATGTAGAATGCTTAGGGAAGCTAATTAGTTCAAAAATAAATAAATTTTATCTTGTTTTAAAACACTGTTGGTTGGCTGGTTTGGGCTGACTAAAATCAACGAGCGAACAGGGTGATTGTCAGAGGTAAATACGTGGCACTATGGGGTAAGATATGAAGACATAGTAGAAGGCGAAAGAGACGGCTAGTTTCAGAAATAGGCCATGGATGATTCAGGTCTGTCAGTCTGTCACCCATGATAAAAGTGGTTTACGTGAGGCAGGCTGGCATCTCTTCAGGTTCTCAGAGTATCCTACCTTACGAGCTTAAAACGGCATAGTGAATGTCATTAGCGGAATATCGGTTCTACACAAAAGAATGTCTTCTGTTATACATATCTACTTTCAGGACGATTTGACCAACGCATGAAACCTGCTTATCCACAAAGAATGTCTTTGTGCGTGTTTGTTTTCGATTAAAGCCATGCCACAGAGAATTTTAAAAAAAAATCTTGCCAAAACGCCTCATGTGAATCTATTATTTTCGCCTGTTCGTTTGGACTTATTTGACTTATAAACCGTAATTTTTTAGTTAACAAATAGTATTTTTCTCTCACATCAAATCAGCTCATCGGTACTTTTATCATGACTTATCAGCCAACGCGTTTCTTTTTACCGCGCCAGACACACTCTGCGAAAATGAATTACTTCTCGTGTTTTTTTGCCGCTGGCGGGAGGCCACGGTCACGGTACTGTGCGGCCATCGTACCCTGCTGCCAAACATACCTTTTTGTTGCATTTTTTATAAGATCAGTCTTATGAAAAGTTGCATGTCATTATTTATAAGACTATTATGTCATATATAACAAAATAAAACCATGAATGGAACTTCCACTCTCAATGAGAAGTTTTATTATATCGTTTTATAGACATTTGACTTCGTAAAAATACCTATAAAGTTGATAATCATACCGAGAGAGTTTCATCATCATGATTTCTTCTCTCACTTCGTAAAAACATTTCCATGCCGTAAAAAATACCTATGGCAGAATATTAAATGCAAATAAAACTCTTATAAAACGTTCACTAAGACAGGCTAAAAAACATATAATCTGCCCCATAGATTCCTTGTTAAAGATAGTCCATATATCCCTCTGTCCTATAAAAAAAGTCGTTATGGGATACGTGCAGGTCAAACTTTTTTAACTTTGACTAGGTTTGTAGAAAATACGTGCAATATTTATATCTCTAAATAAGTTTATTATGAAAGTATATTCAACGATCTATCTTATAATACTAATTATATATTATAAATATTAATATTCTTTTATATATAGTTGGTCAAAGTTAAAAAATATTGATCTTTCGGGAAGCGAGAACGATTTCTATTTTGGAAGATAGTTTGTCGTGAGCATGAGCAGGGGAATTAGGGAATTTTATAGTGCAGGGTCTGTTTTTTTTAGGTGACACATCGGTACCATTGGGTGTAGATTGAACCCTTCACGTTCATCTTCTATCCTAGGCTCTTCAGGCAGTTCACGTTCGTTCCCACCTACCACCGATCCAAAATATATTTTATAATTAATTGATTAACTAATGATTTATCATAAATAATAATACTTTTTTATATAATTTTAATCAAATTTCAAATCATTTGAGTTATCGAAAAATAATAATTACATTGGACGGAGTAGGAAGTATGTCACCCCAACCCCACCTCTCCACTCCACACAATGGTTACTGGTTCCGTTCGGCAGCTCGATTTCCAGCTGCTGGCTGATATGGGTACAGTTACCAGAATCAGCCGCACCAGCTGGATTCTACCTAGCTTCAGCCGAACTTCAACAACAACTATTTGAATTAAAAAAATGGTGGCAAAGGCAACATTTATTGCAATTCAAACACAAGCCAGCAACCCATTATGGTCCTTACAATATTCAAATGAATTGAAACAACAGCAATGCTAACTCATGGCTGTTCTCCATGACTGCACTTACATGATTGAAATACATTTCACATGGCAGCAACTCTATACAACAAGTTCAATACAACACCAGGATTACAAGTACCGGGATTACAAGCAACATGTCTAGCCTCCTGCAGCAGCACAATCTGGAGACAAAGTTAGAAGCATTTTCAAGCAGAGCAAAACTCAGGGCATCAGTAGATCCATGTGAAGCAAAAACCGATCACAGGCATCTTCTTACAGCCATCATCTACTCCCCGTGCACCATGTCGGCACTTCCTTCACCTGCATGTATACATATCATCATTAGCCCCAAACTAGGCAGCCAAAGGAAATGTGCATGACTTCATTGATTTGTACCAAAACCACAAATGTTTCACTTACGTTGTCTTCCCAAGGAGTCCAAGTCCATATGTTATCCAGTCGCAGACCTGTTACATATCATTAGGATCTCCCAACGCCATAGCTACGACTTGACTCAAAGGCCCAAGGTCTGGCGCCTACCTGAACCTCCCTGGTTGGTGCTGACCCTCCAGCTCATGCATGTAGTTGTGCAGTGCACAAAGAACAATAATTATCTGGGTTTGTTTGGTTCCCAGATAGTGAGGTACGCCTTTCAACATTTGCCACTTAGCTTTCACTGCCCCAAATATCCTTTCTATGACATTACGCAACTTGAAATGGTGCCGGTTGAACAACTCCCGCGCATCACAAGCCCCCTAGTCTAGAATTCCTTCACCCAGTACCTCTTATTTGGATACGGCGTCAGACATCCGGGGCGAAGTGCGTAACCGGAGTCCACCAAGTAATAGCGCCTTCATAAATTCATAGCAAGACATCAGTTCAAATACAATTAGCTCCAGCATGAAACCTTTGCATCAATACATCAACCAATCGAACTAAGTTAAACTAACCTGATGGTGGACGTGGGAAAGAGGCATCGTCTTTTGCCTTTCTTTTTACCCGCATATCATGAGCTGAACCCTCTGTCCCCGCCTCGATATACGTGAACCTCATGTCGAAGTCACAGACCGCAGCCTCATTTTGGGTTGTCTTCCCTTTCCTATTAATACGATTATCACGGACTCCTTGATCAACTATCAGATTTATGTGAGTGCCATCCATGGCGCCTATGCAGCCATCAGAAAATGACGTGTACTCCAACAATTCAACCGACAAGACTGAATAAGTGGTGTACCTAGGCCTAAGCACGTCATCTACAAATCTAGTCATAGTTGCCAGAACATGGGAAAATACCTTGCTACATGTCCCCAACCCCCTCCTAAAACTCTCATGCATTTGCCTCTGACATTGATTTGTACCACATGCCCATAGAAACATGGCTAAAGCTTCAATGGATTCAAGCTCCCTACTGTCTTTTAGCCCAAAGCTGTCACGTAGTATGCTATGCAACCTAATCAAGTTTTTAGGCCGCATTCTGCAGTTTTCAAAGCACCTACCAGCATCTGACAAAACTTATCTACCCACTGTCTTCCGGTAAGCTCAGGCACATAGATAACATGGTTACCTTGTGGTGGTAGCTACAGCATGTACACAAATGCATAGCCTCCAGTCCATAGCTGCAGTAACCATCTCGTTGAAACCGTTTTCACTTAAATTTTGACTGTCCTCGTCGCTGTTGTCCATGTTCCAATAGGCTGCCAAGGAAAAATATAAACCAACGTTGGTAACTACATTCCAATAGTACATTAAGCATAACCTGTGAATACAATTTGCACACACACCTTCAGGCTCACCAAGAACTAATGACCCCTTCAATCAGTCCCACAGGTACCTACAACACAAGCACCCCATTATGATTTGTTCAAATAGAGAACAATTATAGCATCTGTTAACAATGAAATATTTGTTAGCTTCAACAACCAAATAATGTCAGGTAGCTCAAACAAATTCATCGCATCACACAACTTATAACGAGTTCGGAAAAAAGAATATGACACATGGTTTTGGCCACAGGCCCCATTACAAGACAAAAACCTCAACATAATTAGGACAACAATAAATGTAAAGGATACAAGACAACACTCAAATGCCATCGTTGCTTCTCACCAAACTCAACATCCCAGCTGCCGAACTACTTGTTGTTCTGTTCATGTGATATGTTAGCCAAGCCATACGTTCTTTAACTGTTAGCAGATTCTTGAATGCCCGCCGGATCACTGAGTCCTCGAACAACACCGTTGCCAAGAAGAACATGTCTGAAGTGGATGGCACACCATTGAAAACTCTAGTTTGGTTTTGGTGAATTGATAAAACCCTAAGTGCTAACCTAGTTTATCAAGTGATCATGAGATAGGTAGCACACTCCAAGTGGTGAAGCAAATAAAGATCATAGCATGATGATGATGATGGCATGGTGATGATCAAGTGCTTCGACTTGGGAAGAAGAAAGAGAAAAATAAAAAACTCAAGGCAAAGGTATATTTTGTAGGAGCTATTTTGTTTTGGTGATCAAGACACTTAGAGAGTGTGATCACATTTAGGTTTGATAGCCGTACTATTAAGAGGGGTGAAACTCATATCGGAACGCGGTTATCAAAGTGCCACTAGATGCTCTAACTCATTGCATATGCATTTAGGATCTAGTGGAGTGCTAACACCCTTAAAAATATTTGTGAAAATATGCTAACACATGTG